GGATAAGACAATATGTAAAATGGATTGAAGAAGTCCAATCATTTCTCTTCAATCTTAAACTTTTATTTGTTGACTTAATTTTCTATAATTTGATTTAAATGTGTGAGATTTAGACTCACTTAAATCCTTTTAAGCATATATAATAGGAAGAGGGTAAAATTGGACGTTTATAATGCCTTTGTGGGTTTGTTTTTTTGGAGGTTCTAGCGTTTAGGTTTTAAGTAGCTTAATTGGTGGATGTAGTATAATAGTGAAAAAGAGAGTATAAAATAATTTAAGATTTTTTTTTTTTGTATTTATTAGTTTTTTTTAATTTTATCTTTTATATAAATAATATAAAGCATACATAATTGCTCTTTTTCTTAGAATACTTGGGCTTTCGGCTTTGTATTTGATTCCATTAAAAATTAGTATTAATCCAATAGACCAAAAGTAATTCATAAAAAAATTGATAATATAGATTAATTTCAATATGTAAAATCATTACATAATTAAAGAAAGAACTTAATGATACAACAACTCATATAAAATAAAAAATATCTCTACAGTTTTGACTATTTCAATAAATTAGATGCAAAACAAATCTGGTTTATTTCGTCGAATGTGCTATGAACGTTGCTTTAACCTTCAACGACATCCCTATCTAATCATAGGTATGAGGAAGTAGGATACGTACAATAGCTGCAGAAACAAACCGAATATCAATACAATATATGTACCACACGTTGTAGGGCAAACAATTTGAATATTTATTTTTAAAATAATAATATTGAAATTTAACTATATAGATGGTAAAGATTCTTTAAGAGTATTACCTTCCAAATCAGCATATAGTAGGATCTAATGGAACCTTTGTCACTCAAATCTACAAATTTGGCCTGGTACCAGAGAATTGAAGCAAGAACAGCATGTCCCAAACCCTAAAAAATTGGCACCCAATTTCAAACATTATTGAAAAGAACTAAATATATATACATACCATTGAAAAGTAATAATCCTCCACTTTGTAGGAACGATTGGGTCATCTAAAGATTCAATTTTTACTCTTGACACTCCTATCAAGATTAGGAAGTTGCAATGATATACATGACAAAGATAACTTTCCTAGAGGAATATTTATTCAAGTATAGATATCTACCATAACACAAACCAATAAATAATATTAAACAACATTGGAGTTTGTTATTACACTTCGTTCGTACTTAGTATCTATAAAGAGGCTCCAAGGGAAAAATAAACTTTGTATTCTCTAGTAGTTTTTCAACAGCTAAGGACCTTGAATGCAAACATTTTCTTTTATTTTCTTACAAATAATATAGTCTCATTTGGTGGATGGTCGTTGCTCCTATTAGACTTGCTAATTTAAAGATTTTTTGTTGTTGTAAAAATGGGTTAAAAAATTAAATACTTATAATGATGTGATGCTACTAATATGATGTGCAAGATGCATCACGGAAAGTGAATGGATGTTACTTAATAAGTATATTACCGCGACAACTTTAACCCAAAGCAAAGAAGATGATAATCCTGCCAGAATTGCAACTCCAAAAGCCGATTCCAACATGGAAACACAGATCCAGAATACCTGAGGAAGATTAGTTAGGAAAATCAAAGAGACATATAAGAGCACACAACCAAATGAGCTATATATGTTTCATTCAGAAAACATACCCGTTTTTGACCTAAACGTGTTGAAAAAGATTGGATGCCAAATGCTTTATCTCCTTCGATATCAGGTATATCCTACGTAGATCCAATAAAAAATATTTTAATATTGGTCACATATTGAACCAAATGGGTGATGTTGTTTTGAGAAAGAATAAATGCCAAATGCTATATATGTTTTGAGAAAGAATAAATGTTTACCTTGAACAGTGCTATGCCTAATGAGTATATGGTCGTGAATGCAACAAATGTCATCAGTGGCTTTGGAAACACAGCTGCTCTCTTCAACACAAAAGTCTGGACAATTTTACATGAATCATTAATAAAGAAATATTCTTCCATTAATGTATCTTACTTTAATTAATAATATGAAAAAGGATCATACGGCAAACATATTAATACATACAAAAGGGTGGTCTAACGTAATAGCTTATGAATTGAAAATGTGCTATAAATTGAAACAATTAGCTTTTAATATATTCAATATAGATGCACATACAAGTTCAAAGTAATTCAAAGTGAAACACATTCGTTTCACTACACATTTTGCTTTTCTTTAACTTTCTCGTTCAAATCTCATTTAGTTTTTATTTATGTACTTAAATAGTTGATCACGAATCCAATTATACAACCCTAAAAACAGGGGATAAGGATTTGTTTCTTATTTATTGTTACATGAATATATAAGTTAATACACTTGGTCTAAAGTAACGGTCTAAAAAAAAGGCATAATTAGTTACAGAACAAACCTTCATGTGAAAGAAAAACGAAAGGGGAAATACGAGAGCCAAAGTAGAAAAGATGCACATTGCCGCAAGCAGAGGATTTTTCTTCCATCTCAACAGGGGACCCTGAAAAGTTACAAAATAGTGTTATCACAATAATAAAACAAGTTGTGTTTTTAAAAATATATTCATTTGCCTTCATCTAACAAATTAATCTGCATTTGAATAATAATTTTGGTTGATATTAGTTAAAATATCTTGCTCTGAATTTGACAATACCGGTAAATGAGATTGTTCATGCAATTTTTTACAATGAAAAAATTGTGTCAAAATGGGCACACTAGTTATGCCATATATTTAAAAATATATTCCAGAGAAAATTTAGGTTATCATAAGTATTGTAAATGAAAATTGGATTCGTAGGAGCCAACAATTTTCTTTCATTCAAAAACTTTTTCCTTTCATATTTTCAGCCATTTCTTTTTATGAATATGGATATACTATGAGCATCCTTATCAAGATGAATTGGAAGTAACAATTGAGTCAGATGACAACAAAAAACAAAAGTTTAGCTACAATTGGAAATAACTCACCTTGATTGAATAACCACTCCATATCACAAAGAATGCTAGAAGACCCCAAAATAGTGGCCAAGAACCTATCATATAGCTAGTCAAAAAACCCTGTAAACACAAAGAATAAACACAATAAGCCTCATTCTACTCCATCAGTAAAGTTCATCTTGAAAAATAATATTATGAACAAGGATGAATATATGTCGAACCAGGATTGCAGATGATACAGTAACAATGACACCAGTTGTAAAGGAAAACGCCCCCGATGGCAATGGAAGAAATGGTTTGTTTATCTGAAAAAAAAAAAAACATAGATTAATAATAAGACAAGCAAAAAGTTTAAGGTGGCATGTTTTCTTGACCACATCAAACGATATATTAATTAGGGAACCGTAATTAACCAAAATATAAATATAAAAAAGGAGTCTAGTAGTCAAAATAAGGATACAACAGTTTTTCACATGTTTCTAAATAAACTACGCACTAATTTTGTCGTTAACATATTTTTTTAACGAATAATACAAAACCTAAAAAACTTAACAAATAATTTATTTCTAATAGTTTACCTTGTCAATGTCAAGGTCATACAGTTGATTCACGCCATTAACGTAAAAATCCATAAACATGAAAGGTAGCAGAGCCTGAAACATTTTAAAAAGTCAGAAATTATTACCACCAAAGTTAAAGGATTGTTTATAATTGAATATATACTAAAACAACATGTTTGGACTCTCACCTGTAACACACCAATGAAAAATAAAGGAGATGATATATCTGAGAGTTTTTCCGCCGCTAGGAGAGATGCAGAAATTGTGCTTAATGTCTGGTGACAAATAAAATTGAAACATTAAAAACATTTAGATATATATTACTATTATCGAAAACAGTGTTTCGTACAAATAAATTGAATTATATAATATTGAAGAACTTACTCGACCAAACATTGTGTAAGGATAGCAAAACCAATATAACGCTACAAAGAAACGTTTCACAGAGCCAACAATGTCTTTTGGTTCAGAAGCACTTCCTTCAGAATCAAAAGATTCTTCAGAAATTGCTTTGGGTATATATTTCTGATCGTTTTCTTTATATAGAGAGCCTCCTTCAACACTTTTGAACTGATTGTTCATACTTGGTTGATGGAACCTTGAAAGATTATATTCTACTTGACTTTTCCTTTGTCGCATTGAAGCTTTTGGCGCAAAAGAACCTACAATACAATATGTTTGAGATAGTATTGGTAACCATGTACAACAAAAATAAATAAAAAAATTATGGAGGAATTTTTTTTTTAATAAATGGAATTGTTTTCTACAATCACGAAAAAATAATTTAACCTTTACTTTATTATCATAGTAAAGAAATAGTAAAAACATATTAATGTTACTATTTGTAAAACAAAGTGAGAAAAAGTCATTTCACCTTTATCTTCAATTCAATTCATCGTATTTCAAAACTATGTAATTTACGTTATCGAAAAATATATTTTCTTGGTATAAAAAAATGTGAAAGATTATATAGTTAAATAAGTTAGTATGATGCCATGAAAGAAGATTTAGAAAAAGTATGTTGACCTGACCCGATTCATATTTAAAAAACGGATCATATTTTTATGTTTGATTTAACCTTATATCGAATCAACGAGTTAATAAATATTTTGGCTATTTAAAAAAGAAAAAATTTATCCTGATTTAAGCACATTAATTTAGACGCATATTACAAAGGTAATGTAAAAAATATCAAAATTAATTTAGAATATTTTTTATTTACTTTGATCTATTCAAGTTTTTATTTTATTTTTTTAGATAGCATAATGAGTCAACACCATTTTTACAATCCTTTGAAAGATAATAAATTGTGAACGAAAAAAGATGGATGGAAGAAACCAGGACATATGGGAGAGAGACATACGTGCATAGGAAATGTTCTTGGTGTAATGTTTGCTTCGCCAGAGATTTCCCCCTACAATTACCAACGGTTCCTCGTATCAGTAACTAAAAATTTTGTAATGAAGAAAAGTATGATAAAAGATTCCATGAAACAACATAAGAAAGTAACCGTTGATGCAAAAGCAGAGATAGACGAACCAGTTGTGAGCGAACAGACATTAGGAGAGGACATAAGAGACATGGAATCCATGGAAACTGAAGCCTCTCACAACAGAAGACACTTTGTGATGATGAAGAATAAACAAACACACCCTGGTAGTGAAGAAGACGGGGAAGAGAGATTTATATACTATGCTCAATTCTATTTAATTTATCCATAAATTCCATTCCTTGTGGCCTTCTTTTTCAAAGGCAAATGAATATAATAATAGTAATAAACACAACAATTAAAGCCGCCCGTATAATTTCATCAAAGGTGGCATTGATCGTAAGTAAAGCTTGTCAAAATTGACCCATGTCATAAAAATATTAAAAATTATGCAAATATTAAATAATGAAAAAAAAGGTTTAGAAACTTAATCAATTAAAAATTTAGTTTAAATTAAAACTAAAATTAAAGTAAATTATTTATTATATTTAAATACAAAGATATATATATATATATATATATATATATAATTAACAATTATACATAATGTATTGAAAGTTATATTGTATTTATAATATATTTAATTAATCAATAATAATAATTTATATTGTAATTTTTAATTATAAAATTATATAAGTTATTCATAAATATAAAAAAAGTTGAATTTGAGGATTTAATAATAATTATTAATTTTTTATAGTATATCTTTTTACTTAATTTTTTATTATAAAGTGTTTAATAATTTTCAAAAATATATTTAATTTTCATAAAAAATTAATAATGTTTTAATACAAATTTATTTAGTTTCATGAAAAAATAATGATTTAATTTAATTGAAATCAAAATCAAATCAATTTAAATTTTTATATTTAATTTAAATAATTATTTAATAATAAAACTGCAAACACCCTTACGAAAAATATGATATGTATATTAGTAAAAGAATATTTTTTTATTAGTGTCTTAGCGTTTATTATAAACAAAGTTGTCAATTTTGAACTACATTTTAAAAAATGTATTGAATTTTGACCACCAATTAATTTATTCCAAGAAGACGCTATCAGGAAACTCCGTCTTGACTGAGTGTCCAGGTTTCAGATATGAGATTGGATTGTCCACATTTTGGAAAGATGTGCATCATTCTGATTATTTTTTTTTTAATTTAAATTCAAATTTAGATACAGTTTCATTACTATCATTAGAAAAATTTTCAATTAAAATTGACTTTCGATTTATATTAATTTATTTAATGAAAAAATATATTAAATATAATTACGTATATCCGAAATTAATTGAAGCATAATATTGTTCAAAAATTTACCATTTAATATATTATATCATCCATTTATCTTTTAAATTAATTTTTTTAATTTAAAGTCTGCAGAATTTGAAGGGAATCGTTTTTTAGTTCTGTGTGTGAAGTGAAGGTTTTCCACATGCAATCCTGGCGTCTCGCGCACTCTCTGACTTTGTAGTTTGTATTTTTTTTTTTTTCTATGCTTTATCTTTACAAAATATCATTATATTATTAATATTTCAAAATTATTGTTACTATTATAATTGTATCCCCTAAAAATAATTATTATGAAAATTTATAGCCTTACTATATAGCTTTATAGTCAAATAGTAATATAAAAATCTTTATAATATTTATTTTTCAATTTTTAATATAAAAAATTAAATTTTTATCAATTGCAAATATCGAGAGATTTATTTTTTAATAACATCTTTTATTTTTATGTGAAGTTTAAATAAAATACAGAAAATAATAAATTTTAAATGAGATTAAGGTAATCATACAAGAGATTGACGCTGTAAAAAATATTTTACAGTATAATATATTATTTTTCTTATTTTTTACAATAATCACCTTAGAAATCATTCCAATAATACTTTATAATTGATTAATAATATACAAATTTAAAACTGAACAGTCATTTAATTTATTAATAATATTAACTAATTTCTTTTATTAGTGGCAATATATATATATATATATATATATATATATATATATATATATATTCGAAACCAAAAGAATCTCTGTGTAAATTATTTAAGATTTGTTTTGACAAAATTTCTATAAAAAATTTAAAATAATAAAATTCCGCAAATTTAAACTGATATAAGTATAAATTAGGTTTAGGTTATATAAACAATTATTTATATTTAAAAAATGTAGAAAAAACGTAAATTTTTTGTTTTAATTAATATTGAAAGTGATGATAGTTTGATAAGTGGAGAATATACACTACTCGTATAAATATTATGAAAACTACCGGTGGTCTGTTTGGATAAATATTTAATTGGAAATAATGAATTATGAAAAGTCAGTCCAGTGTACAATGTGTTAGGTGAGTCCGGGTCTGCAAATCTGGTTGTTGATTATTGAAGCCTCCACACATTCATGTAGAAATGGTCAAATATCTTTCTTGCCTTTTTTTTTATGTTATATATATATATATATATATATATATATATATATATATATATATATAATTCTTAAGTTAAACATTTCTTTTCAGAAGTTAAAAGACTTAGAAAATGTTTAACTTGGCGTACTTATATAGTTTTCCAAATAAAAAGGTAAATATATATATATATATATAGAGAGAGAGGAATATTAATGGATGACACGGACTCAACTTAAAGAACTGCAATTTATTTTTTATATATATCTTTTCATAAAAAAACGTAACTACTGTAAAGGATATATAAAATGAAATAATAGTTTAATTTTAAAAGAGAGATTAGAGTTTTTAATTTTTTTTATCAGAAAGTTGAAAAATAACATACTATTATACGATTTAATGAGTAGATAAAAACTTATTTTTATATTGATTTATTTCATTTAAGAAACTTTTAAGAATTTTACTATGATTAAAATTTGTTAAAAAAATTATTTTTCATTTATTTTTTATTTAAATGAGTATATAAAGAAATTATGATATATTTTTTTTATTTTCTTAAAATATTCACAAGTATTTGTTAACACAATCGAATTCGTACGTTCACGATTATTATAATAATAATAATAATAATAATAAATAATTATTTAACCATTACAAATAATCACTACGTAATTTAAAATAATATTATATAAAACAAAATTATGTAATGTTATTTTGAGTTATAAAATTGGTGTTATAAAGTTTTGAACATAAAATACAAAGTTTATTTATAATGAATTTATAATTGGTGTCTGTTAGTATTAGATTAAATGACAAAGAATTATATAAAAATTAGTTAATGAACTTTAATAATGTTATGATTAAGAATATGAAAGAATAAACTTTTCATAGGACTCTTCTATATAGAGCATATTATATTAGACAATTTTTTTTATTTTATTATCCTTGTAAAATTTGTATAGGTTTAAATTTATTGTTTATAAAAATTATGGATTAGTTGAGTCATAATAGATTACTTTTATACCTTCAATTAGATTTCAACTTGAACTAAAGACTACTACACTCACCAAAAACAAGGGATAATCCTAAATTAGGATTAATTTTCTTTTATTTTTCTCACAAACTTGAGGGGCAGTGTCGAGTTTTTCAATAAGTTTAGCTAATGATTTTTTATTCTTGGTCGACTCAAGGTGGAGGAGAAAATTTTACTTCCATCACTACTTCATCCAATAAAATGTTTTTATGTAGATAATTCTTAAATATCAAGCAGTTAATCTTGTTCTTCATACATAAGAATCTATTTTTATAGGATCTTCGGAAAATGTTTTATCTTGTGTAGAACTTTTCAGTATTGATAAAGTTAATTTATATTCAATATTGGTTGTCAGTTTATTTTGATGATTGATTGTTATTCTAAGTACAAAAGTTTCTATCCTTATAAAACATTAAAATCATTCTTGATTTGAGTTGGGTAAACTTTTTTTGTCTATATATAGTTTAACAAAATATTATTTAATGGTAAAAGACTTAGTTCATCTTAGACTTAATTTTTTTTTCATCTTATATTTTCATACTGTAGACTATTTCATTATATATGACATTCTTAATTGATATTCATTTGAATTACTGCTTAAAAGATAAGTTTTGAATTTTAGAAATACTAGATGTTGCAAGTTAGATTACGAGACGATGAAAATACAAATTTAAATAAAAAATAATAATAAAGTCATCATCAATATTTATATTAAAAAAATATCAAAAAATAAAAAATATGTGAAATAAAAGTTAGATTTAAAATTTAATTACTAGATAAGGTATTATTATTTTGATTCTAAAAAATAAAAATAAAAGTTAAATATCTTAAAAATTATTTATTTTATCATTTAAAATTAAAGTAATATTTTATTATACATTTATAAACATTTTAAAATTAAATATTTTTATTTAAATTAAACGATAATATATTTTTAATGTTTTAAGGTTTGACATATATTATCTGTATGGTCCTATATATCTCAAGTGTAATAGAGATTTTAAGTAATATAGTTGTTTTTAGAAAAATATTTGTGAGAAATAAATTTTGATTTAATTATTTATTATATTAAAAATAGAATAATAAAATTAGAAGTAAATATAAAGTAATTTTAATTTTTAAAGTAACAGGTGTGTCAAAAATTGTTAATTAATAGAAGTGATATATTTTAATTGTTATATTTATTCTTCTATACATTTTAAAATAAATTAAAGTTTCATATTATATTTTTTATAAATTTTAGTATTATTATAATCAAATTAAAAGTAAATTCTAGATTGATTATAATAATTTTAATAATTATTATTAAATTAAAAGTGTATTTAAAGTAATTGTTATTATTATGAATAAATTCTAATTTATAATAATATTTTATTATTAAATATAATTATGATGAATATTATCTACTTTTAATATTACATCTGTGTACCGAAATATTAAAATAGTAAATATATAAAACTAAATATTTAAAAATAAAAATATTTTGACTTTAAATATTGTTGCTAAATATTTACTTAATTATCTTATATTATTATTTTATTAATAATATTTTTAATTGAAAAATAAAACAAATAGATTTATTTAAACAAACAGATTAGTTAATAATTATGATTATATAAACCTAAAATTTAACTTAGTAAAAAAAATAAAAAGATGGGCATACGCAAAAAAAAATAAAAAAATCATGTCATATAGTTTTTTTTTTAATAAAGCAAAAAAACATAATTATTAAAACAATTAAGTAGAAATCAGGATCACTGACGGCACACGCAAAGGCCGAAATAAAGGTTCTTTTAATTTGAGCTACTGTTTTCAAGATCGAAGCTTTATTGGAGGCGAAATAAAAATGGAGTTGAAACGAGAGATGGATGAAGTTGTTGCTATCAAGGAATATGCCTTTCAACATGGAGAGGTTGACGAGGGAAGGCAATGCGTTGGAGAGGAAGTTACCCTGGCGGGAGAGCGAGGTGAGTTGGGAGAGGGAATTTAGATTCAGTGGTAGCGTTTCGGTGTTTGAGAGCGATGAAGTTGGAGGGGTCGAGATTGGGACCGGAGATGGTGTTCTCGAGCTTGGGTAGAGTAATGGCCTCCGCACAGTACTAGGAATGACACACCAATGAGGCGGCGTGGAGGGAGAGCAGTGTGGGGAGAAGCGGCACAGTGAAGGGGAGGATGGTGAGGACCTTATCGTCGGCGGTGATGCGGGTGGCGAGGCGGAATACTACAATCTTCTTCTCATTAAATTTGCCTGTTTCGTTCTTCTTTTTATTTTATTTTGAATATTTTTTTTATATTTTTCTTTTTATTTATTGATGATTGTGATTTTTGAACCAAGATTTGTATCTTGTTATAAGTACGGGACTTCAACTTCAATCTTGTTGCATGCGACTTCAACCTCTATTCATCGTTTTTCTCTCAAATCTTTGTTTTTTATATTTTTTCTCTCTGTCTTTTCTTTTTATGACGTCCTCTCTACGTGTTTTTATTGCGATTTTTATTTTTTCATCCGTTTTCTCCTGCGTTTGATTTTTTTAAGTTTGTTTTTGTGATTTCAACCACTCACAAGGAAGGCTACGAGAGAAAGGTCACGACGATTGATGGATTGATTGGACTCTGGGAGAGCAGCACAGGCATCAAGTTGCAGAAGCAGAGAGACAGGTATCAATTATCATAAATATTATTTTTATTTTATTTTTTATTATACTTTTATATTAATATTTTTTTCTTTTTTATAGTTTTATTTTTTTAATATAAAAATTGTAATTTTTTTAAATTTTTACTTTTTTTTAGTAAATAATTTTTTTATCATTATAACATATTATCATATGAATTATTTATTATAAATTAATTAATTATTTTAATATTTTATTATGTTTAATATTAAATTAAAATGTAAATAAAAAAATTAAGTTGAATTTTAAAATTATTCTATAAAAAAATTATATATATATATTTTTTTAAATATATGATAAAATAAATTTTAATCTATTAAAAAATAATATTAAAAATATTATTAAGTAACTTTAAATTTATAATAATTGAATTTTTATTCTCTATTTTTCAAATAAGTTAATATTTTCTTATTTTTCTCTAATTACACCAATTTTTATTTTTAATAGTTTTAATAACTTTGTAATTTCATTTAAGTTTTTTTTTTCATTTTCATAGTGTATAATTTTCTTAGTCAAATATTTCTTCACTTTCTTTAATGTAATAAGGTAGGGTAAAACAACTTACTAACACTTCCTTTTTATTAGTTGCGGATCTTCTTGTCTGGGAGGAAGATTTTTTCAAAATTTTGTATTTTTTATATAATCTATGATTTTATTTATTAAATTTAATGATCATTTTATGTATTTATTTATACATTTACAATTTTATCTTTTTACTATTTTATCTTATTTTATTTTTTTATATTTATTTAATATTTTTAATAATATATTATTTGATCTTTCAATAATTAATGGTCAAGATGCGTTACCATTCTTCACTAGAGTTGATCATGAGCTAGTCATCTAACACAAACTTCAACTTTTAGTGCAAAGTTGAAAACACCATCCTAGTTGAATAAATCCATGATCTTGCTAATAAACAACTATATGTTGAAAATATTAATTTCTCCCATAATTTCTTTGTAACATCCATCAAAAACTCTCATAATAATAGAACTTAGTTTCATATGAGTCTCATAATAATAAGATAGTTAATTTAATATAAATTTAGGTATTATATTTAATGAATATTCATTGTCAATTAACATTTTGGTTATAATGTAATTTATACATCTTATTAAGATGTGCAAAATTTTATTATGAGATCTCTTGTTAATAAGAATTTTATCATTTATGAAAATAATATAATTATTAATAGTGATATTGTTAATAATACGTCCAAATTTATCTAATGTGATAATTGTATGTTTTCTTCAAAATCTTCATTAATAATTTTTTATGACTTTCAAATTTCATTAACAAAGTTAGAAAGGATATTCTCGCTGGAGTATGATATAATTGATCAATAAATTTGTACTCATTTTATTAAATAAACATGAAAATTATGACATTATTATTTAACACTTCTTTTGCCTTTTTTTTCCTATGAGAAACTTTATCATTAATGAACTCCTTTCCTCTTTCAAACTCTCTCTCCTCAACCTTTTTCTCTTTCATTATTGAGTTCCTTGATACTTCTTCCTTTACACATTATCCCACATTCTCTTGCAATATTTGGAACATGAGATTCTTTTTCCTTTTTCTTTAGTATGATGAATCTTCACACCATATTTTAACAAGACTCGCTTTTCTATCTTTATAAGGAAAAAACTTACACAACAATAAATTTGGGTTCGGAGTTTGAAATGGAGGAAGTGACACATTTTTAGAAAAAATGAATTATTAATGGATTGATGAGCATGACACCTTATCTTTTTTTATTGGGTCATCAACATATCATCTTTAGAGGAGGAAGTTATTTGCACTAATTTTGAGTATAACCTTTATAACAATTATTTAAACTCGTTACACTCATTAATATAGTGTTTTAACACTAGGATGAAATCTACATGCCCTTTTTGTGAATTTTTACCTTCAATCGTCTTTAACTTACATAATTATGAAAGTATGACTTTTATGAGCGTTCTAACTTCTTCAATCTTCCTAATAAGTTAGTTAGGTTCTTCATCAATGGCGTCCACTAGTGCATTTCTATGACCTAGAAGTGGATTATTAGTAATATTTGGAGCTTTCTCTTTAAAGTTCAACAATCTTTCATCTATGAAGTCTTGTATTTTATGTTTCAAACTCCAACATCTCTCTCTTGAATGTCCAATGCTACTTGTCGCAATCAAAATCGCGAGTAGACGATAAAATTAAATTTTTAAATTAAAAAAAAAACAATGAAGTCGTCATCAATATTTATTTTAAAAAAATATATCAGAAAAAACCATTAAAAGAAAAAAAAATGGTTTGCGAAACAAAAGTTGGATCCAAGAGTCAATTATGTGTAGGGAAAGTATTAATACCCTACAACTTCCGTTTTAAAAACAATTATTTTTAATTAGATGTGAAAATATTAAATATCTTGAAATTATTTATTTTATCCCTTAAAATTATATATCTATTGAATGTTGCTATTAAAAATAAAAGATTATACATTTTTTATATTTTTGGCTTGTGTTTCTGGTGAAAATTTGGTCGATTTCGATTTCTCGAGACTTAGATTCTAACCAAATTTCAACCATGTAGATTCTTTTTACTTAGGCTAACAAACAATTTTCAAACGAAACATATATGAGAATTGAAAATATTACGAGTATCAAGAAACGATAACAACGCTGAAAGTGATACTAGCAAAGATCTCAGTGATTTGATGAAGTCAAGGATAAAGTCAAAGGTCAACTCTGCAACAGTCAACAAGTCACTCAGAAGAATGGAGCTGAAGATTTAGTGTGTCTTAACAGAAAGCTTAGGTAAAACCACTTTACCTTTTCCACTGCATAAAGCTTCTTCACTCAATTTGCAAAATGCCTCAAAAATAGTTTTTAACAAATCCAACAAAAGCATTTTGACAAAGAACTTTCTTAACAATGTTTTTAACTGATATAGTTTTAAAAGAAACAATTAAAATCACTTAGAATGCGTAAAGAAGTGTTTTTACAGTATTTTAATCGATACAAACTTCTTTTAATCGATTAAAACCCTTTATGACCGATTGAAATTCGAATATAACAGGTCAAAATGAAATATAATCAATCAGATTTTAAATATGAGCGATCAGATTGCTTTTAATCGATTAAAACACGTTTTAATCGATTAAAACCACTTTGGAAGTCAGGATGATCGATCAGAATGAAATTATGACCGATCAGAGTTGGTTATGATCGATCAGAATTGAATTATGACCGATCAGACTTATTTCAATCGATTAAAACGAATTTCAATCGATTAAAATAACTTGAAAATTTTTGTACAGAGTTTCAATCGATTAAAACGCATTTCAATCGATTAAAACAACTTAGAAAAATTATGTGCAGGTTTTTAATCGATTAAAACGACTTTATATCAGCTAAAATAACTTGGAAAGTTTTATAAGAAGGTTTTTAAACAAATCAATCGATTAATACGTGATTCAATCGATTGT